TGGGCTATAATGGTTGTATTGATGTATAGCAACTTGAAATGCTCCCAAAAATGGCTCCACAGCATGTAAAAATATAATATAAGCTCTGGCGGACTTGGTTCTATAGTAGGTCTTAAAGGGTTAATGTTGGTTTAAAATGGAGCACTGTAACAAAAAATAATTTCCCCCAGGGATTAATAAAGTATTCTGATTCAGTTTCTAACTCCTCACCTTGCCTAAATGACAATATTCACTGCTTAAAACGTGATTGTCATAAAGCTGAGCACTTGTGGAAGAAAACTCATGTAAATGCTCATCTTCTTTACTTAAAGCATCTGTTAGTTTCTTTTAACAATGCAATTAGAGAGCTGAGGACTGCCTATTTCTCTTATCTAGTTGCAAAGAGTAGAGGTAATCCTAGTTTCATTTGGCACCATTACTGACATTATTCCACCTGCTGCCCCTATCACTTCCAACTTTCTTGCATTCTTAGTGATATAAGAAATAATTTTTCCCTATCAGCTCATGCATTGTCAGCTCCTAATCCAGCTTGGTCTGTATTTTAGATAGTTTTTCTCCTCTTTCACTATCCGAGCTAAAAATAGATATCTCAATGAAAGAATCATCCTGTTCGCTTGACTGTTTGCCTGCATCGTTATAAAAAAAATGTCTTCCATTCTATTGGTCCCTGTGTGCTCACCATAATTAACACCTCACTGACATCTGGTAAAGTCCCTGCTAATTTTAAAAATGCTGCTGTACATTCCCTTAAAAAAACAAAGTTAGACCCTTCTCTTACCAGCAGTTACAGGAGAATTTGAAAACTACCATTTACTGCTAAGATTTCAGAAAAGGATGTGGCTAAGCAGCTTATAGCAATTTTGTACAAACATAATATTCTTAACAAACTTCAGTCTGGCTTTCGTATAACCCATTCTACTGAAACAGCCCTTCTCAGGGTCTCCAATGATATTTTGATGCAAAACGATGCAGGAAAATGTTCTCTTCTCCTGATGTTGGGCCTCACATCGGCCTTTGATACAGTTCGATATAATATCCTACTTGAAAGGCTGAAGCACTGGGTTGGTGTATCTGGGTCTGCCTTAGAGTGGTTCTCATCATATCTGTATGAAGGTTACTTTTTTTGTGGCAGTTTCTAAGTACAGGTCATCTTCCACGTTAATGTCCTATGGTGTGCTGCAAGGCTCTGTACTGGGCCTTTATTGTTCTTAATGTATCTGCTTTCCTCCAGCATATTTTGAACCCTTTTGAGGACATCTGCTACTACTATGCTATTGATATCCAGTTAAACATTTCTTTCAACCCCTAAGATGTTTCTAAGCTGGAGATTTTGAATGAGTGCTTAGAATCCATTAAAGTTTGGATGGCTGACAACTTCCTCCAATTTGATGAATGAAAGAATGAAGTCCTTGTATGTACCCCTGTTAAACACATACCTAAGATAATGAATTCTCTTGGTCCCCTTGCCACATTTGTGAAATCGTCTATCAGGAACTTAGGGGTAATTTTTGACCCGGATCTCACGCTGGATGTTCATGTCAAATCTCTGGTTGGGTCCTGTTTTTATCACTTAAGAAACATTTCTAAACTAAGCCCTATTGTATCTCGTAAAAATTGGAAATTGTCATTCATGCTTTCATTTCATCAACATTTTATTGGAGTTACAGGAAATGTTTTACCATGGCTGAGATCTTACGTGTCTGGGAGATCTCAGACTGCTCGTTTTAAAAAATGATCTCTCTGAGACCTGTGCAGTGGGGCATGGGGTGCCTCAGGGCTCTGTACTTGGCCCATTGCTGTTCTCTCTGTGTTCTTTTACGCTCTTTTAATGTAACTTTTCATTGTTGCACTGACGACCTGCAGCTTTTTGTTCCTTTAACCATTGGAAATTGTGCTGAAGTGTCGAAATTGGAATCATGTCTCCTTATCGGATAATTTCCTGCTTCTTAATACTGATAAGACTGAGTTGATGGTCACTTAACAACAAATATTTCAATACTTGTCCCAAAATTTCACCTTGAAAATTGATGACAATGTCATAAATTGAAGGGACAAGGTTAAAATCTTAGGTGTGTGTGGTTCGACATGGTGCTTTCTTTCGAGTCTCATGTAAAAGAGATAACAAAGACCGCTTTTTATCATTTAAGGAACATAGCTAAAATCAGACAAGTTTCATCAAGCAACACTGCAGAGGTTCTTCTCCACACATTTGTGTCTTCACGTATCTATTATTGTAATGCTCTTCTTTCTGGGCTACCAAAGAAAAGTTTCAAATGTCTACAGATGGTGCAAAATGCAGCTGCTCGTATTTTAAAT